CTGTTCTTTTTTTTTTTTTTTTTTCCAGTACTGGGGATTGAATCCAGGGCCTTTGCACTGAGCTATATCCCCAGCTTCCTCCCCTTTTCTTAATTTTTATTTTGAGTCAAGGTCTCACTAAGTCACTAAGTTGCCCAGGCTGGGCTTAAACTTGCGATCCTTCTGCCTCAGCCTCCTGGAGTACTAGTATTACAGGCGAGCACCACCACACCCAACTACATTCCAAGTTTCTTGAGTTGTGTTGGGCGAAGGAAATATAGAAGAGACGAGGAGAGGATTCCTGCGTGGTAAAAGTCACCTATCTTAATAGAAAGTTGTTGATCGTAACATTTTTGTACTGTAATTCACACTCTTATCAACCTTCTGAAGGAAAAAAAAAAAAAGAAAATTCCTGGAAAGCGCTTTTAGCTCCCTCGCTCTCCTTTGTGTTAGTTGGGGTTAGAGGCTGAGTGGTTCAGATTGCACTGGAATTCCTAAGGAAACTGAGCTCTTTGTCAGTTTTAGGAATGCAATACAGGCCTCGGAGTACCCTGGCCCTCTTAGGAGTCCCGCTGACTTGCCTTGTCACCCTGCGGTTTGCTGGCAGACAGTAGATGGCGTGATGGAGCAATACCTGACAATCAGCTGCAGTTTGGGAATACCCACTGGGTTTCAGAGTGTGGCCTCCTTTATTAGAAAGGTTCTGAGCTGCCAGGGGCAGTCTCTTCACTTAATTGGATTTGCTGCATGCGAAAATCTCACCAAGACAATGGGCACGGAGATGATAATGGGAAAGCCAGGGCGCTGACACACTGCCTCAAGATCAAGGTGTTCTGACTCCACCAGCAATCACAGGGAGAGGCTCAGCACACCGGCCTGCTCCAAGGGCCATCCTGGTTCCAGAGATTCCTTCAGCACCCCTTGGCAAGTCCCACCCCGGGCTGGGGAGCTGACAGTGAGGTCCTGCCTGGCCTGGCAAAAAAGGGAGCTTCAAACCTGCCCTTGCTGACTGGCTTTTCCTAATTTTTTCACAGAGGCGAGATGCAATTTTTGCTGATCTGAATAGGGTTCTAAAACAGAATGTGATTGTGTGTGTGTGTGTGTGTGTGTGTGTGTGTGTGTGTGTCTGCATTTTCGTTGTCCTAGGAGGTATCTGGCTTCTTATTCATTTTTCCCTAATCTCAGTATTTTCTCTTTCATTTCTTCTCACATCCTGTTGAAAACCTTTCTATTCCCTGAGAGAAATTTGCCCTCTGTGAGCTCCCGTAGTGATCTGGACCCAGGTGTTCAGGAACTGCCACAGCATAACTGGAGTTCCTCTCCAGAACTGACTCCTCCTCTAAAGACTTGGGGTTTCAGAGGTTGATGTTTACTCTCACCTCTTTTCCCATCTGAGCATTTGTGTGAATTGGGAAACACATCAGGTCCTCAGCTGTACTCCAGATAAAGCTGCATAATAGATTGCACCCCATGTTTGCAGACCACTCTGAGGTGAGTGCCCCAGGCTCCCACCAGCCCATCTAACAGTGACTGGCCTCCCTCCTAAGTAGCCACAGCTTTAAAAGGGTTTATTTTAAAATAATTATAGATTCAAAGGAATTTTCAAAGAAATGTACACAGAGAGGTCCCCTGCACCCTTCACCTAACCTCTCCTGATGTTCTCATCTTCAGTATCAAAGCCAGGACATAGACACTGGTATAATTCAGTGTGTGTATGTGTACACACATGTGTATACAGCTCTGTACATCCTGTCACACAGGTAGCTTCCTGTAGCCACAACCACAATCAGCACACATGACTCTACCCTCACCACAGAGCTCCCTCGGGCCGCCATTTTACAGCCTCATCCACTCCCCTCCCCCAGCGCTAACATCAGACAAGCATGAATCTGTTCTTCATCTCTGTAATTACTGTATTTTATAAATACTGTATCAAGGGAATCACGCAGTATGTGTCCTTTGGAGATTGACGTTTTTCACTCAGTATAACTCTTTGGACGTTCATCCAAGTTCTTGTGTGTTATCAAGAGTTCTTTCATTTAAAACATTTAATAGTTTTACTGACATAGAAGTCGCTGTTATACAATTCACTTTTTTAAAGTGTATACGTTGGTAGCTCTTCACATCTTCAGTTATGTGCTCATTGTCACAGTCAATTGTAGAACAAATTCAGTACCCCAAAAAGAGATCCTCATCCCCTTAGCTGTCACTGTGCATGTTCCCCTCAACACACACACAAGCCCTATGCAGCCACTAATTTACTTTCTGTCTCTGTGGATTTGCCCAAGCTGGACATTTTATATAAATGGAATCACACAAAAAAGTAGTCCCTTGGGACTGGCTTCTTTCACCTGCCATGTTTTCAGTGTTCCTCCATGTTGTAACATGTATTAATAATTCATTTCCTTTTTATTGCCAGTAATATTCCATTGTATGGATTATATTACATTTTGTTTTCCGTTCATCAGTTAATGGACATGTGGGTAATTTCCATTTTATTCCTTTCTTTTTGCTGTTGAGTGATATTCCATGGTATGAATGAACCACAGTTTGTTTAATTATTAAGCCACTGAAGAACATTAGGGTAGGTTCCAGCCTTGGCCTACTACAAAGGAAACTGCTGTAAACATTCCCATGTAAATTTCTATACGAAAACCAGTTTTCATTTCTCTGAGATAAATAGTCTAGGTGTGCAAATGCTGGACAGTGTGCATTCCGTTTTAAAGCAAACACTCCTTTCCAAAGTGGCAGTACCATTTTATATTCTCACCAGCAACGTGTGTGTGACCCAGCTCCTCCATGTCCTCACCAGCATTTGGTGTGATGAGTATTTCTATTTTAGCCACCCGAATGCTGTATAGTGACACCTCAGGGTGGTTTTCAGTTGCTTTTCCCTGATGGCTAATGCTGTCGAACTTCTTTTTTTGGTACCAAGGATCGAACTCGGGTCCTTGCGCTTGCGCAGCAGGCGGCGTAACCACTGAGCTAAATCCCCGGCTGCTGTCGAACTTCTTTTCATGTGCCAATGTGCTAACATCTTCAGTGAAAAGTCTCTTCCTGTCTTTTGCCCATTTTCTAATTAGATTGTTTGAATATTGAACTCTGACTCTTCTTTATACGTTCTATATATAATGCCTTATTGAGATATGTGGTTTGTAACTATTTTCTCTCTTTCTGTAGCTTGTCTTTTCATCCTCTTAATATGGTTGTTTTCAGAGCCAAGGTTAATATTTTTCTTCTTTTTGATGCAGGGAATTGAACCCAAGGCCTTGTGGGTGCTAAGCTCATACTCTACCACTGAGCTACACTCAGGTCCCCAAAGTTTTAAATTATGACGAGATCCAATTTGTCAGCTTTCCTTTCATAGATTGTGTTTTTTTGTTTCAAGTTTAAGAACTCCTTGCTTAACCTCAGTTTCCAAGATTTTCTCCCTCTTTCCCCTCTAAGCATTCTATAGTTTTAATTCTTACGTGCAAACCCATGATCCTTTTAGAATTCACTTGTGTGTAAGATGTGACTTGAGCTGAGGGATCAGTGTTTTGGCTCTTGGTGTCTAACCGCTCCTGTACCATTTGTTGAAAAGGTTCTCCCTCCTCCTTGGAATTACTTTTGCACTGTTGATGACAAATGATGGAGCCAATTCTTGTGGGTCTATCTCTGCTCCTTTACAAAGCCTGCATTTCAATCAGATACTTGTACACACATACATCCCCAGCCCTCCTCGTTGGCAGTGACGGACCCCCTTTCCTTGCAGACTCATGGCAGGACTCTGAGATGCCCCAGAGTGGCCAGGCTGCAGGAGTAGCCCAGAGCCCACAATGGCCTGGGAAGCAGTCAGAGATTCTTGCGGTGGTGCACCCTGGCTTGAGCAAACCTGGGTACCTTTGATTTCAGGTTTTGGGCCCTTTCGGCAGCACCTGGTGAATTCCAGCTGGGAAGCAGTGAAGGTAAACTCTGTCCCCCTTCCCCTCTGCCACCACACACCCAGCTGTCTCCCTCTGTGATTGCTGAGAAATCTCAGCTTGTAGGACCCGTGGTAACCAGAGTCACACAGCAGGTCATACAAACAAATCCTCAGGCCCCTGGGAGAGTGGTTTGTCTTTGGTCCTTGGGTTGTAGTGTGCCTGCCTGCTGATGCTCCTCCTGCCTCTGTGGTAAAGAAAGGAGGCCAAAGGGATACTACTTGTAGGGGGGCGGGCGGGGGGGGGGGAGGGCAAAGCCCCCAGAGCTAGGCTCCTATTGTCCACACCTCCTCTGGTTGTGAAGTCTTGGTTTCCTCATTCATGAATGGGGGATAATGGGGCTGAAGTTGCAAGACTGACCTGTGGATTCAAAGAGGTAAGTATGCAAGGCAGCTCTGCTTAAACACTGCCTGGCAGAGTAAGCGTTTAGGAAGTGGCTGTTAGTATAAACAGTGCCCTTACTGTTAAGGAAGTCGCCAATTCAGAGACAGTCCGTGAGGATCACCAGGGCTTGCCTCTGCAGGGCAACCTGCCTTTCCTCCTTGGAGCAATTGTGATCCATCCCCATGTGGGTGTCACTTAGAGGGTCCAGATACTGACAGCTGTGTATTCACACTTGACCTTCAATTTCATGCCTTTTTTGGATCAAGCTGAAGATGGGGTCTCTGCTCTATTCTCAGTTTCCTGTTCAAGCCGAAAATGCAACAAAACCACCAGCGTCATGCCCTTGTAGCAACTGTGGCATTGATTTTCGAGCCTGTCAGCACAGATGCAGTCAGGAGACTCTTGGGTCAAGAGTTAGATTTTAAGCCTTTTTCCAACCAGAAAAAAAACTCAGAGAAACTCTGGACTCACAGTTAAGCCTCCGCTGCACCCACCATACCAGAAAGGCCAGCCTGGGACCTTCATGAGCCACTGGGTGTGTGCAGCCAGTTCCTCCATAAATAGGATCCCAAATGGTCCTGAACACTTCATTTCTTTGCAGTCATGATAATGGAAAAGAGGAAGGCTGCTTGGGTTCACCTCCTCATTCTAGTCATCCAATGATCCTGTGCCTTTATTTCATTTGTTATGGGGAGCTAACCTGTGCTAAAACATGCAAAGTCCTTAAGACAGGGTGGGCTATTGCCAGTGCTCACAAATATAGTTCTTCTGTAACCTAAAGCCTCTTCTATTGGTCAGGGTTCTCAGCTTGCAGGCAATGAGATGTGATTGGCTAACTCACACAGGAAATGAATGATGGACAGGATTATTTGGGAGGCTCAAGGCTCTCGCTAGGAGGAGTAGCGAGCCAGAGCAGAAACACGCTGGGGGCTCCAGGAAGTGGCAGCAAGATGGCAAATTAGATTCTCTCATGGGCTCTTTCCCTGCACGTCGGCTGGAGAGGACAGAGCCTCTGTAAGCTGCCGGGCAAGTAGAAGGTCGAGGACAGCTCCAAAGAGCAACAGGCACATGTGCGCGCGCATGCGTGGAAATGGAGGCAAATTCCATGACCAGCACTGTGATCAGCAAAAGGCTTGGCGATGAAACCCAGTGCCTCCTCTAAGATTCCACCCGATCCTTGAAAGGGGACCCTGAGTCTCAGGCACGCCAGCTGCTGTAGATGCTCATGTAACTTCTCTTGATTTAAAACCTCAGACTTCCTACAAATGAAGATGAACTAAATGTCCATTTTCAATTCAAGATCACCAAATATGCAAGGAAGCTGGCAAGCTACCACGGATAAGAATCAGCAGAAGCAGATTTAGAACCTCAAGGACTTCCACTACTAAAATCAGAAAATAGCAGAACTGAAAATGAAATATTTAAAGATATAGTCACAAAACCAGCAAGAGATGGTCAAAAGATCAGGCAGATTGAAAATGAGAGTGGTAAAAGTTACAGAAATCAGAGATACAAGTACTGTGTTAAAGTAAAAGCTCAACAGATGGTTACCAGCCATTTAGGCTCCTACACTCAGATTCATCTGCTCGCTGCTGACCAGATCAAAGGAAGCCATATATTTGAGTAAAAAGGAAAAAGGGTTTATTCAAAGTTAGCTCTGAGGAGATAGAGTTGCCCACTTTCCTCAAACCCCCATCTCCTTGTGTACAGGTGGGTTAGGGTCTTTCATAGTAAGGGACAGAAGGGAGGGAGCAAGGGAGGCAATGCGGATCTGCTCCTTTTTGTGGGAAGGAGCCTGGCTCCAGTGTCCTGCGGCTCAGCATCTGTAGATCCTGTCACTTTTCTAAGGCTGAGGGAGGAAGGAGGTGTTGGTTATTGCTGGGGGTGGGGTTTGGAGAATCTGTTCATCTGTAAAAGGAAAAACCTAACTTTTAAAGTTCTATTTCACAGGGCCAGTTACAAGATGACTTAAAAGGGAGTTTAGAATTAGAATAAATGAAAGATGCCAGTCACAAAAGATCATATGTTGTATGATTCCACTTATGTAAGTATCCACATTAAACAAATCAGTTAAGACATAAGGAGATTCATGGTTGCCTAGAGTAAGTAGGGCCAGGAAATACTACACAGAAAAGGGGAATGGCAGTAGATGGATATGAGATTTATTTTGAGTGTGATGAGAAAGCTCTAAAAGTGATTGTGGTGATGGTTACAAAGCTCTGAATATACTAAAAATCATTGAACTGTAGACTAAGTCATGAAGTGTATGGTATGTGAATTATATCTCAATAGAAAAAGAGAGAAATGTTTGTCTACATGCACATGGCAGTGGAGAGACTGATGAAGAGAAAATCAGTGAACTAGAAGATACATCTGAAAATATTACTCAAAGGGCAGCATAAAGAGATGGACAAGGATATGAGGGGATTAACAGATATGGATAATACGTGAATTCTTCTAACCTATGTATATTTGAAGTTCAAAAGGAGAGAACAATGGGAAAAAAGCAGTATTCAAAGAGTAAAGATTGAGAATATTCCAGAATTTATAAAAGACATCAATCTACAGAGATAAGCTAGGACAAATAGAATCCACACCTAAACACATCATAATAAAGCTTCAGAACAGCAAAGACAAGCCGATTTCTAAATACCCAGAGAGAAGAGACCTACAAGAATAGGCAGTCTAATGACACTAAGGGTAAATATCTCAAAAGCAACAATAAAATCCAGAAAACCATAGAGTAGTATTTTCAATGTTGAAAATGTAATTGCCAACCCAAAATTATGTAGCCAAAAAATTAAAAATGTATTTTTAATGGATTTTGGTTATTTGTAAATGGGAAATGAATGTTGGAACAAAAGGAAAATGCAGAAAAATAATATAAATGCTAAAAGTTCACAATGAAGATGACCATTTACTACAAACCCCCAGAAGATTGACTTGATTTCCTTTACCGACAATATGTGCCAAAGTATTTAACACTGAGCTGCCCATAGTGGGCACCTTTCCCTCTTCAAGTCCACATTGTACATAGCAACACAGGCCATAGGTCATTCATTATTCATTGTGACCTCTAACTTCTAGATAGTCAAATGTTGGAGTCAGTACCACCTCAGATTCACTGAAAAGGAATTGCATCCTCAACATTAACTCTATTGAAGGTTAAACCAAAATGGGCACTTTGTAAGGAACTATACTTCTTTATACATAGTAGTTCTTATATATAGTAGTATACTTCTTTTTTTTTTTTTTGGTACCGGGGATTGAACTCAGGTCCTCAGCTTTCGAGGCAGGTGCCAGAACCACTGAGCTAAATCCCTGGCCCTACTTCTTTATATATAGTATGTTCCAAGACCTCCCATAGATGTGTGAAAGTATGGAAAGTATTGAACACTATATATATATATATCTATATATCTATATATATATATACACACACACACACTTTTTTTTCCTATAGCAACATACCTATTATAAACTTGAATTTAGCTGGGCATGGTGGAGCACACCTATATTCCCAGCACTTTGGTAGGCTGAGGCAGGAGAATCACAAGTTCAAATGCAGCCTGGAAAACACAGCAACTCAGTGAGGTCCTGTCTCAAAGTGAAAAATTAAAAAATGACTGGGGATATAGCTCAGTTTGAAAGTTCTGGGTTCACTTCCCAGCACCACAAAAACATCTAATTTATAAATTAAGCACAGTAAGAGATTAACAACAACTCATAAGAAAATAGAACAATTATATAATGACATAGCATGATAAAAGTTATTTAAGATTTATAAACTGCTTAGTCCTGGAATTTTCCATTAATACTTTCAGACCATGGTTGGCCTTAGTTAACTGGAAGGGCAGATGGGAAGGGAAACTACTGCCTAAGTCTGTATAGGCCCTCTGTCCTTGTTCTTACCACTTGTCATATTACATTGATTTGAAGAACTACTTAAAAAAAAATCTTTTGGCATCTTGACATTGGATAAATGTCATGGCCAACTGCATTTTATGCTCTGTCATTGTTGAGCAGTCCTTTATTTTCTTTTTCTTTTTTTTCATTTAGTTTATTGGTACATTTTAGGTATACAATACAGTTACATTCATCACTGGGATCTTGTACCTTTACATGATGTATCTTGGTCCCTATTTTTTCCCCATTCCCCTGCCCTCCCTTCACCCCCTCCACCCTTCCTTACTTACAAAGACTTTGTTTCCATGTTTTTCCCTTTCTCATATTTTTCTTTTTCCTTCTTTCCTTTCCCCTTCCCCTCCCACTTCCCCTATTCTTTTAGACATTTTCTTCCTATTTCACAATATCAATTATACATTTTGATTCTTATTTACACTTTTAGTTTTTCACATCAGAGAAACTAGTCAGTATTTACACATGTGTGCCTATTTATTTCATTTAAGAGTATCGTCTCAATGTGCATCCACTTAGTCATAAATGTCTCTAGTTTCTCATTCTTTATGGCTGATTAGTACTCCATTTTATAGAAAAACCACATCTTCTTTATTCAGTCTCCAGTTGATGGGCACTTGGGCTGTTTCCAAGTTTTAGTTATTACAAACTGTGCTGCTATACACATAGGTGCACTATATCAC